GTTGGTGTATGACAAGAACTTTTTACAATTGAAAAGCTTAACAGTTGATCAAAGTTATTATTTTGCGGTCGAAGCTTTCAACGAAAATGGAGTTTCAGAAAGAACATCGACTATTAAATGTTCATAGTTTAGTTTTCTATATGAAATAATAAATATTATGCTGAATGAATTACAAAAGTGCGATAGGATTATTCTCTTATCAAAAACAGAACCAGGTTGTTGACAAAGAGAACAGAAAGAAAAAAAATAATACGAACATTTTTTCCCAGTTGCTTGTGTGTATATATACATCAAACAACAGCATGTTTCTCAATGGCGTCGTCTACTTCCAGTGGTTACAGAAGTCAAAGCAGTTCCATAGCTGTCAATCCACACTATGCATGCTATTGGTTAGATTCCTGCTGCGGTCAGCACGAACTAACAACTTGTTCAAAGCGGCGAGAAGAATTGCATGGGAAATTAGGCATTTATTATTCACCCAATGGTATTTACAAGCGGTTCGCTCGTGATGCTTTGAGTAGTGTCAATTTGAGTCACAATCCAACTGGGTGTACAAGAGTCCACTTATTGATTTATAGAATTCGACCCAATGGCAGAAAAGAAGTTCTATTCGGGTTGAGCTATCGTAAGAATACTCCTGACGAAGCAACTCGACATCCTTTGCTTTCATTTCCATACTCCGAACCACGTAAACGTGATGAGTATGGTAAACCAATAGCACGTCGTGCGTTTCAATCTATCAGTGATAATAAAGATATTGGAACACAAGGTTTAAAATCTCGTTTTCTCTTTCAACACGCGAATGTTATCTATCCATGGTATGTAACTGAAAACGAAGCCGATTCTCTGACAGAAAATTTTACAGCAAATGAAGAAATTATCTCATTACATTGGTTTCCATTGACACTTGTACTAGAACGTTTGCCACAATGGAACAATTATTTAATTAGCGAAGCGACACATAATGAACTAGCACAACATGGTCACATCAAGCCAACTGAAGTTCGACTCGGTGAGTATGAGGTACGGCCACTCACTGCAATGTGTTTGATGTGTATTCGAGAACATGTATCCGAAGGTTTTGAGACATTTTTAAAATAACTTTAATAAAATTCAAAATAGTTTCACAACAATTTCGTTGTTAGTTTTGGACTTTGTTCGGAAAAAGCGCTTTCGCATTGTCACGATTGCTGTTGACAATGGAGCATATGGCACATCGCTACCAAATAGAATTTTCGATGAATCAGCAAATGCGAGTAATGCTTTCAATTGAGGAACGCTTGATGACAAAGCTGTATCATAATAAAACGAACGAAAATCACTCAAAATTTCACGAGCATTTCTCGGACATTGAAAGGATGGCAAATCACCTATCATGGCAATCCGTTGAGCGAGAAAAGGCAGAGTACCACCGGCATGTGAAAGAATGATTTTTACATCAGGAAATGCAGCGCGAGTACCGGTGAGGACAAGATCAGCTGCTGTTCGAGTTGTCTCTTGAGGATAGTCAATTAATGGCTGTGGTGCGTAACGATCAACGATAGTAGTTGGTGCTTCACTTGGATGAATGAAGACGACAGTCTGTAACTCGTTAAACCTTTTCCAGATTGGCTGAAATGATGAATGACCGAGATATTGACCTTTTCCATAACTAGTGTAAACTATAAATCCGTCGGGTTTTTAATACTTCCTTTCTCTTCACATGAAATATATACGAAACACAAATGACAAAAGAAAGACTGTCTTTCATTTAAAAAAAAAGCATTTCAAATGTTAGAAGGTCAAAAAATCACTTTCTGCAATCGTTTCAAAATTTTTCTGAATATAGGGGAAAAATTTCGTTTGAAACTTTTTCATCTGGCAACTCCGATGTCAACCAATTCTTAACTCACAATTATGAGAAGATGATTTACGTTTCGGCAACAATGTCATTACTCAAACAAATGATTAAACAGATAAATCTACTTTGAGTATCGATTTGGTTAGATCGAAGAATGTTGCTAGTACTGAAATGAATACCATAGTGCCTGAGTTTATAAATGCTACCAGGAAATATGGCACTATGGCATGATTCAAATCGGAATTGGATGGACTTTGTCAGTGCCGCTGAACTAGTTTAACCTCTGCCAGAGTCTTCTAAATGCTGCTCTTCACTATGAAGATTGAGGCACATTTGTGCATAACTGTAATGGAAAAATTTGCAGTTATGAGTAGTTGTCATGTAGAATAGATAGTGTGTAACGATGCCGCAGCCGTCAAGAAAGGTAGTTTAAGATATGATTGTGATCTTTTTATCGATTATTTGGCATCAAGCATACAGGCGAATTTTTTGTACGTAAAAAGTGCGTATACGCGTACGCATTAAAAGTATTCTTTATAAAAGAGAATCAGTTTGAATACTGTATACTCCATCTCAATCGTTTCTTCTGAAATGAAAAAAAAACTACGCGTAGAAATGTGCGCTTTTCGGTACCATTTCATACATGTATAACTCGAACACAAAGTTCGAGTATTAAACTTTCAACTTCGAGTTTTCAACTTTTAAACTTATAAGTCTAGAACTCGAAGCTTCGAGTTTTCGAGTTTTAAACTTTTAACTAATTGGCTATTAAATATCCACTAATTAAACGATAATTATTAAATAACTAACTGATTATCAATTATTAGCTAACTGATNAGGACATTTCGTTCGAGCACATTGGAAAAGGATAATCTTGGCTGGTTACCATAAGACAGACATGTGCAAGGCATCAGCTTTTTGATCCAAGTCAAGTCACATATAAAAATCTTCGAATTCAAGTCATAGCTCAAGCCGAGTCATAAATGACTTGACTTGACCTGATTTAACTTGAAATCAAGTCGAAGATGGACTTGACTTGGTTTGAGTCAAGACAAAAATCGAGTTGACTTCCCATATTTGGCGTCAGTTCACTACATAAGTTCTCCTATGATTCTTAATTAAGATTTTTTGATACTTTTAGACCTAGAATTAATACTAAACTGCATAAAACACTTGAATATATTTATACAGTTTTTGACTTGGCTTGCCCATGTCTGCCATAAGATGTGTGCGAAGGTAGTTGTTTAGACATTTTCACCAAAAGACTTTAGTGTATCTCACATGATGATATTTGCAATTTAAAATATCAGAAGAAATAGTATGAAGTTAATGTAGATTTTTTCACGCTGCGACACATGCTGTCTCTCGATAGGATTTTAGCGGAAGTAGGTCTCCAAAAGTATGGCCGTCAGTGTAGTTCTATATTGGGCTTGTCCAAACGTAACGTTGTGACATTTTGACAAAGTATTTTTCGATTTTTTCGAAGACTATAAAAGTTACGGATCTCGTTCAAACGCTCGTAGATGCAGTTCGTTAAACTCTATCAATGATAAAAAAATCAAAGATTTTGGTTGAGCTCTTGTATTTCTGTGATGATTTCAGTGTCGCGTAACAGCGTGACATAAAAGGACCCTGACCTCGCAGTACATTATTTTCGTTGTTAATTTTTTCATAAGATACTATTATCAGTGTGAAGCTAGCACGAAGGAGCTAGCACGAAGAAACTGTGTGTAAGCTAAAAACTTTTTTCCAGAGTGTGTCCGGTCCATAAAACCTAGTCCATTCGATTCAGAATTTAATTCTGCATCGAATGGTGGTATTTTTATTCACCGGACAAATTTTGGAAAAAAATTATCGGAAACATAAATAGACATATATGAGGCAAACAAAGATGTGGTTAAACTTTTTTCCAAAGTTTGTCCGGTGAATAAAANTTTTTCCAGAGTGTGTCCGGTCCATAAAACCTAGTCCATTCGATTCAGAATTTAATTCTGCATCGAATGGTGGTATTTTTATTCACCGGACAAATTTTGGAAAAAAATTATCGGAAACATAAATAGACATATATGAGGCAAACAAAGATGTGGTTAAACTTTTTTCCAAAGTTTGTCCGGTGAATAAAAATACCATCATTCGATACAGAATTAAATTCTGAATCGAATGGACTAGGTTTTATGGACCGGACAAACTCTGGAGAAAGTTTTTAGCTTACACACAGTTTCTTCGTGCTAGCTCCTTCGTGCTAGCTTCACATTGATGATACTATTCAAATTAAATATAATAAAGCAGTGTTTCGTAGAGATTTCAAAGGACTTTGTGTTGATAAGAAAGATTTTCTTCCCACTGTTTTATTTCGTACAGAAAATACGAAATACAAACGTAACGCTGTGACATTTTTCGTAACGTTGTGACACAGTTTTTTCCTGATTATTTTTCACAACCTTAGGATGCTTAGAATGAAGTGATTTTTTAAAGTGTAAGTCTACTCGGTACTGTGATGATTTATACCTGGAAATAGAATGAGTATATTCATGTAGAAGTCCATATAAGAAGCAACAAGTCGAGAACTTGTAAGGAGCTCACGAACCGCCTTTTGCTACAAAACCCAAACGTTAATATGTCATTTTGTAGAGAATCAAATTCTGCATCAAATGGTATGCAGAAGAACATGCTTTAAGGAGACGTTTTGCTGAGACCACCCAAAATACGATTCTCAAAAGGCTTAAAATATATTTTCTTACAGAAAAAAGTGGGCTACGAACAAAATAGACGTCAGATTCGTAATCAGCGCTAAGAACTACATCTAAAACAGTGTTTAGAAACGCTGTTATCGAAAAAAAAATTTTTCAAAACTTAATCAGCGAAGTGTCACTTTACGTGGACATACCCTATTACTACCTATAGGGACAACGACTAGATAAATACTAATTTGAGCATATCAGGCACTACGATGGATGCTCTTTAAAAGCCAAATCATAAGATAAAAGTCTCTTTCTAGTTTCTTTTGGTAGTCAAATGCATGACGAGTCTCTAATTTAGAAGCCAGAATGACGGGAAACGTAGTCAGTCACTTTGAAAATTAATCAAAAGGGAAAGGCATAGTAGGGATAATCATGGGAACGACTAGGCGTTTGTATGAGAAGAGTTTTAGCAAATGAAATGAGTATGAGTGAAAGACAGACAAATTATGAGATAGGTAGATCGTTTCAATGCAATAGGTTTTATTTGTCACTATTGAGAAAAACACATAGGAGCTGATAATACATTTAGTAGAGGGCAAGGGGCCATCGTGCTGTATTATTTCTAAGCGTAGTAGATAGATTTTCAAATATCTGCTATCTTTCTAATTAAACGGACTTTTCTCAATCAGATTAGCTTCCATAGTTATTCCCTTTCTGAAAGAAAGGGTTATAGCCGCGTTAAAAATCAGTAAAAGTTTGTTGGTCCAAGCCAATCAGAAATAAGAATTTCTTAAATCATCGAAATTTGCCCCTTATCAGCTAGAAGCCGACTACTAGATAAATAATCGAGGTCGAGGATCTGGAACCTGGGATAAGTTTTAACTAGTTATTAACTATTAGTTACGTTCAGACTAATTAGGGATGAACTATTAATGTACGCAGTAAGGGTTGACCGAACGGTAATCTAAGTCGGGAAGCTCAAATCCGAGGTTAGTTCTTTTCATAAAAGCTTTCTGTCTTCTTTTTTGCGACACAGAATCATTTTTGTAGCCGATAGTGTTTTAAGCGGTAATATGTAGAACAAATTCTTATAACTGACTGGCGTCCGATTGCCGCATCTTCATAGTCATCAGCATATTATTGAGATCACACACTTGTATAGACAGCTATACTGTAGAAATATCATCTGGTGCAAGTTAGTCAAAATAATGTTTCCTTTGCCAAGTGTTGTTTTCGATAGCCAAAATAAAACAAAGGTAGTGACTTTTTAAGAAGGACTAAAAGGAAATGGATTGATTAGTTTCGAAAGTGGTTCTAGATTAGATGAAAGAGCGAAAATATACATGTAACGGCTACCAGCGAGCAGCGAGTGACCGACCGGAGAAAGGCCGACTAGCGACCAGTCGTCGATTTGAAGTATAATATTTTAAAGAACAGATTTTCGTGATTTTCATATAAGTTTTAAGATTCCTTGGATGTAGAACTTGATCGTTGATCTCCAAGAACATATCTGGCAGCTCTTTAAAGTTCTTCGTGGTGAAGAGAAGAATGAAATCTGTTTGCAGAGAATGATATACCTATGTGAAGTTTGTAAGCTTTCGATTATGATTTGGTTTTGTAAAATGAGCTCATTTTAGGACAACATCTTCATCTGAATGAAGTCAAAATAATAAAATGAGTACGCATAGCGACGGCTAGCCGTGAGTGGCCGACGAACGACTAGGCGTTTATTTAAGAAGCTTAGATAAGATAAAATAAGCGAAGGGTCTGATTCACTTGACCGACAACCCTGTGATTGACACATTCTTTGGTCGACACCATTTGATCAACAATTACACTTGGCCGACAACTCATTTACCCGACAGAGTCTTGAAGTCAAAACAATTGATTGAATAATAGTTAACACAAGGAATAACTGCTCGGAAAAAGTAGAGATTAGAGAGTCCGCCGAACAGATGGACAAGTGAAGATCACGTAGCTACTGTCTATTACAAATCGAAACGTTGCCTTTTATAGGCAACGGCATGCAATAACAGATAGACAAAGAGATTCACCTCATATTGCTCGCAACAATTAGATAAATCCTGGACGGTGAGAAAAAGAGAGAATGAAATCCAGAGGAGACACACGATAATCACAGACAGAGAAAAGGTGAGATAATATCATCAGGAATAATCACCGAACAATGAGGCACCTGATGATAACTAAACGGGAGGAAAATGTATGAATTCATCACCCTCACCCATCCCGAAGTGGATGAGACTTATATAGTGTAGGAAAAGTCTGCCTAACGACAAACTTTCATTGAATAGCTTTTAATTGTCAAACGCTTATAAAACATGTGGCTATGAGCATCCATGTGCATGTACTTCAGTAATCATTCTTTATAAGATTTGCTAAATGTGAATAATTGTTTTTTAAAACCTATTGACTTATTGAAAACCATATAATACCTGTCAATGAAATGTTTTTGTGGATTTCAGGAAATCAACTTCTTTTTTTACACAAGATACTGAAATGGAACAGACGCTGGCAGACAAAATTACAGAGGCAACGAATGAGGTAATAAGACTGTTTTGTTATTCAAAAGAATTGAAACGTAAAATAGTGCGATTTTTATTTCCTTCTAGTGGATTAAAGAACTATATGATGAAAGAAAGAGATACGACTCGTAAGTGTGTTTTCTTCAGCTTTGGTTTAACAATTTTCTATGTTTCAATGGTTGTTAATGTATGTGTTACAGTTCAGCTCTTTCAGGGTTGCGGCTCACAGGCCCTACGATTAGGAGGGGGAGTATGGGGAGAATGTATCTCCCTCCCTAATTTCCCCCTATGTATTGGCTTTCTCCCTAAGGTTTTTTGAAACGCGAATCTTTTTATCTTTTCCTAAGTATGAATAGTCGCACGTAAAAAAACTTCTTGCATCGTCTATTTCAAAATAGTTTTGTATATATAAAGGTAGGGAGCATTGTTTGCTGTATTGTATATGAACGATTTCTGAGAAGATGTGCTATTTTTTCCTTCAATATTTCCTATTTCTCTTTGACTTTCCGGTATTTTCTCTTTCGATATGTACCACTTTCTCCGCCAGTTTGCATAGCTTTCTCTTTCAGATTGGGAGACTTCTCCCCTAAAAACCTTCCCTTCCTAAGCAAAACTAAACGAAAGCTATGGCGGTCCAGCGAGAGACACAAATCTGAATAAAATATTGCATTTACGAGAAGTATAAATTTATGTAAATATTTTATCAATCTTTTAGAAATTTTTCCAACTCTCGTTCGACCAGTTTTCCTCATCCTTTTGGAGGAGGTAGCGTATCCAGCTAAAAATCCGATTAGAGGTTTTTGTAAAAATCCATCATATGAATATTACATAAAATCACTTCTAACTTAATTCCAACATGGAATATTCAAATATTTTTTGTATACCAAAAGGATGCTGTCAATTTAATCCTTTTTTGAGAATAAAAAGCGATCTCAAACAATCTTGTTATCCTCATTGCGTAAATAACTCTATTAAGACTTATACTTCTCATACAGAGTAACAGAGGAAAGTTTTCTCTATTTTATGAGGAAAATCGCATATGGATGTCGTGTAGAGTTCTTGAGACAGCAACAAATTTCAAGGATTGAAAAACTGTACTATATCTAGCGCAGAGCTCTTAAAAGGATTCGTACAATTAATTTGTCCCCTTTTCTGAAAGGAAGGGTTATAGCGTTCTAAATCCGGTCGATCAAATGCTAAAAGTTTGTTTGCATAATCCAATCAGATTGCAACTTTTTACAAATCAATGAAATTTAACTATATTCATCGGACATTGACTACTAGTAATGTAAGTGAGGTGGGAGAGTTCAAATCTGAGGTTAATTTTAACAAACTATTAACTATTAATTAACTACCGGTTAACTAACGATGAATTATTAATGCATGCAGTAAGGCTTGACTGAAGGGTAATCGGGGTCGAGGATCACGAATCCGCTGTTAGTTTTTCGAAATTTTAATCCGCTAATTAGCTAATTAATAATTGGGAAATGAAAAGTTTTTCAGTCACAGTAACACACGTTGTGATTTTTTTATGCAGGAATCGAAGGAAATAGATTAATTCACTTCGAAAGTGATTCTAAACTACAAGGAGTGAAAACGTACATGTAACGACCAACCGCGAGTGGCCGAACGGAGAGAGGCCGACGAGCGACTAGACGTCGATTTGAAGGGTGATACTTTAAAAAAGAAGTTTTAGTGATTTTCATGTAGTTTTGAAAATTCTTGGATATAACTTAGTTGTCGATCCGCAAAAATATATCCGACAGCTTTTTAAGGTTTCTCTTGGCGAAGAGAAAACGAAATCTTTGGCAGAGAATTGTATATCTGTGTAAACTTACTGAGTTTTTCATTATGAGTTGTTTTTTTGCAAATGAGCTCATTTTAGGGCAACATCTTCATTTGAATGGAGTCAAAATAATAAAATGAGTACGCATAACAACGGCTAGCCGTGAGTGGCCGACCGGAGAGAGGCCGACGAACGACTAGGCGTTTATTGCAGTTCCTTAGAAGAGTTAAAATAAGTGGAGATAAATTTTTATTTTTATTTTGAATAGTTGGAAGAGAGTCGATGAATAAATCTTTAGGAACAATGTTTGTTTTGCTTACATGTTTCGACAAATGAACTGAAAATAGTTTGACACGAATAAGTAGAGCAGGATTAAAAGGGAAGAATTTGTATAAAGGTGACTCCCATTGGAAGCCAATTGGAATGAGATCTGCGTGAGACCTTTATCTAATACTTGTCTAAATCTTTCAGAAAAGGGTCAGCGAATCCTGCGGATGAGCGCTACTTGTTTAATACTCGCAACACAGGAGCGTTGAAATCTATTCAGGCTTGTATGAGAGCCAAATTGTTCATCATGGTCGAATCACCATTGTTCAAAATATGTAATGTCGTGCTGCAGTATACCATTTATGGATAATAGCACCGGCAATTCTCCAAAAATTTGGAAGATAATTTCATAAAATATGTCATAAAATAGCTAAAACAAACAGCTTTCTATGCCATCTAATGCGTCAATATTATGAGAAATTGATATATCATATTCATTGTACGATGGATAATTGGAGATCATTCAACGAATGCTAGTATTAGTAAAATCAGACCTAATTACTGTGATCTTTTTCGACATTCATATCTGGGACCCACTGTCGTTCTCATTCTCATTCAGACGTGGTGTTTTATAATCCTCCCGAATCACCATTAGTTCTTTAGCAAATTAAATATACTTCATTTAACAGTATTGGTGCAATAGATGGATAAACTAGTAAACATGTGAACCAATTTGCATTCAATGTCTTTTAGGTCAGCAATAACGAGAGGAGGAATAATGGGCATGATTAAAAATAAATACAAGATGGTAACACATAGTATAGCCAGCCTTTTCATTTTTGTGCTTATCATTTACTCATTTGGACAGTAGTTGGTTATCACTAAGCTTTCGAAAACTCTATTTTGCTAACTGTTAAATCCAACATATCCTAAATGGCTATTATTGTTTTTTTTCATAAACTCAGTTCGAAATAGTTAAAGATTCTCGATTTCTTTTTAATCAAAGTAGGATTAAATTAAGAAGATATCCCACAGGGAGTAACTAAAATTTTTAACTTAGGGGTCAAACAGACAGAAAAAGTCAATTAACTTAAAGCTGAAACAAGACGTCTGATTGGTTCATTGACGATTTGATTTAACTTAAATCGTCTACAAAAGATGATTTAAAAGATAATACGCAATCGTATTGGTCGAATCAATTTTAAGTTAATTCACTTTTTTTCTGTCTGTTTGAGCTCTTAGAATAGATTTCAACATGTATTGATTCGTTGTTCTGTTTTATTTTGATCATATAGAAAATGTGGAACGGAGACTAGAAAATATATAACCGACGATTTTGGCCAAATACACTTTTCAACAAACGACCGAGAATCCTGGGTAAATTTTTTTTCTATAAAAAGTAATTAAAACGATATCAATTTATATATTTGTATATTATACAGTATATCCGCATGCCATTTGTATTTGTTGAACAACGCACTGAAAATGTTGACGCTTCAAATTTTTCTACATCTTACCAGGACCAACACGTAGCAGATCAAGCTCAACAGAAACACATGTCGGCACGAAATCAACGAGAACATACACCAGAGGAGCAGCATCATGAACACACAACAGATCAAGCTCAACGGAAACCCACGTCAAGACGAAATCAACGAGAACATACACCAGAGGAGCAGCATCATGAACATACAACAGATCAAGCTCAACGGAAACCCACGTCAAGACGAAATCAACGAGAATATACACCAGAGGAGCAGCATCATGAACATACAACAGATCAAGCTCAACAGAAACCCACGTCAAGACGAAATCAACGAGAACATACACCAGAGGAGCAGCATCATGAACATACAACCGATCAAGCTCAACGGAAACCCACGTCAAGACGAAATCAACACGAATTCACAATGGTTTCAAGCACTCAATACAATAACAACAAAAAGGCGAAACTGCCTGATAGGCACGATGATCTAGCAACAAACCAAGTCCCGCATGAAAATCTCTCAAATATCGAATCGGTGGCATCAGGACAGCGTAGAGAAAGTACAGACTCTTACGAAAATTTCACGGAAGATAAGGATTGTGAGGTGATACCGGCAGCACAAACTCTAGATAAATCACCCGCCGCTGAGATTGTTCGTTTTATGCGCACAGCATGGAAATTGCCAGAGCCCGAGCTAATCATTTCAGTGACAGGCGGAGCAAAGTTTTACAATATTCCGTCACCAAGAATGCGAAATGCACTTCAGCAAGGTCTGATATCAGCAGTAACGGCTACAAGTAAAATCTTCATATAGCGTTAGCACTAATTAAAACCTATGCTAAATGCGTTTTTAGATGCTTGGGTTTTTACTGGTGGAACTCATTTCGGTATAATGAAGGAAATAGGCGACGCATTCGATAAATGTCGATACAAGAACACTAAGACAGCTTTAAAAACTCCCTGTATTGGGATCTGCAGCTGGTACGCAACAACAGGTAGATATAATTTTGTGATTGCTGATGACTTGATTGAAAAAGAAATTGACGATCCATGTATAATTCAGATTATAAACAACTACTTCAAAATAAAGCGAAAAATTTTGACTCAAGTCAACTATCAAATGATGAAGTGTTAACTCACCTATCCGAAGAGGTGGTAACCTGTTCTATTAAATGTACAAAATGTAATTGTTCTCTCGAATCTCTATTGTTTAAAGGAACAGATAGCGACAGCTGATGAGAAAAGAACTTATGACACTTTCTCACACCGACTAAAGAAAACAAATGAACAACGTGTGCGTCTGTATCGGATGCGTCATCCACCGGAGAAAGGAGAGGCTGAAACTTATCCTCTTGACCACAATCATACACATTTTCTTCTACTAGCCGATCAGTTTGGACCTGGAGAAATGAAATGGAGAAATGCAACTAAAGCTGCTTTCCGTGCTGATTTGATACTGCCGATACGCGCACAAATTGAACAAGCATCACGAGTTGTGACTCAACAAGGACACGGTAAAAATATTTGTAGATTTCTAATGAAAATACTTTTATGTATGTCATGTCGAAGTTGCGAAGGTAGCGCTTTCTTCTGAGAGTAAGCATAGATCACCTCCATCCCCAAGTCAATAAGTTCGATGACGGATCTAATCAGATTCGAGTAAGCCGACAGAACCCGACAGGAATCCGAGTTTAGGTATTCTTAAAAGGTCCGACGACAGATTTTTGTCTGTTCTGATCACGTTCGGTGGTCGGTACCAACGATATTACCGATTGTAGTATTTCAATAGAATTCAAATTCATATATTTGGCGGTTCAATGTTTCACTCACAAGTCATGCGGAAAAATGAAAGTTGTGTTTTTGAATTCATATACATGGACCATATATGTCCCCTGTCAGGCCTTGTAGGGAAATGGATTGATATACATAAGTGGAAGAGATACGGGTAGGGTTTTGTATATGCCAGCATCTGGGAATTTGTTGGATCTAAAACGTGATCTTTCAGTACACGAAGTGAAATCAAATCAGATACGGCACTGAATAATTTTTTATGGATGACTATTAGTTGCATGTATTAGGACATTATGCTACTAGTTCCCTAATGAAACTTTGTTGACAATATTATAATGCAGTTCAATATATGACTCGTGTTGTGTTTGGGAGATTTATTTGTAAGTCTGGATAGTAGATGATATGATCAGGCACCGATAGTTCTTTCTTTTTCGTGAGCGTGAACACTGAATATTTATGTTTCCATCAACTTATTTTCCTGGACTGTTACGATACGCGGTTTGTGTCGACTGATGATTGTTCATATTGGATTGTATTGAATTCAGTCGGATAACATCGCATTCCACCAGTTTGACGGATCCGATTGTATATTGTTGGATCCTGTCGGATTCTTCTATCGAATTTATTGACTTGGACCTGGCCAAGGTTTATTGGAGGCGGTTGTACAACAAAACCTTACTAATGTAATAAACAAGCAAAAGTTCTGAGCAATTTTTGCTGTCATAGTTCGTTAACATCCAATTATAAATGATACTAAATATTTGAAACTTATTTTTATGATTAAGAATAATTTCTATCATATACGTCATCGAAGTACTAACTTCTATGCGTCACATTATGGAAGTTATAATTTAGCTAAAACTTCAACATACGACATATATACATATATATACGTATATATATACTTTAGAATTTAAGATTCCAATTGTGCAGATTCTAATTGAAGGTGGTACTTCGTCAATTTTGACTGTGTGTGAATCAATTAATGCCCAAACACCGGTTATTCTAGTCACTGTAAATCATTTTATGCGACTGAGAAAATGTTTTATGTATAATTTGCATAATATTTTAGGGCACTGGACGAGCAGCAGATTTCATTGCACATCAATACAAGTGCTTGTATGGACAAAAAGATCCAAGGTCAATGGAACTGTACGATGAAATTGCCAATGATGGAATCACTTTTGAAAAATTGTATAAATACAGCGACCATTTGTAAGAAATCTGAATCCTACATTTTGTTTATCATTTAGCAAAGAGAATATAAATTTCGAATCAAGATTACGAAAATCGCTCATACCTCCAGAAAAAAAAGATAAATTTATTAATATGATGCAATCAAAGAAAGGCTATTTTCTGTTGAACTCACTTCATCTAAGTGCTAAAAACCAGCAATTAAAGCTCGATGACGCAATATTACAAGCTCAGTTCAATGGTAGGAGTGTCAATTTAATTTCGTTTCTACTATCCATGCTGTTCGACTTTTGTGAATGTCTAGCGGCTTTGTTAACTGAAAATAAAGAGGAACAAAAATCAAAAAGATTGAAATTGGCTATGGCCTGGAATAAATATGATACAGTAGCCACGACTATTTTAGAAAATCAAACTTTAGTTGATTGGCCGGTAAAACAATCATTTGTGCTTCTCTCATTCATTCATTACTCTTCAATTTTGGATTTAGGATTTGCAATTAGACGATTGCTTGCGTGAAGCTGTACGGCTGAACTCCGTATATTTTGTTGAACTACTAGTCGAAGGTGGAGCGTCATTCGAAAGATTGCGACGACTGATTAGAATCACTGATATGTATAAGGATATAGTACGAATTATTTCTTTTATATTGTGATCATACATACGACCTCGTCGTTTTGCATTCACATAGAGTGACGATGTTTTCCAAAATCGTCTCCCCGTAGACAAACAAATTGATAAAATTACATTCAGTAAAAGTAAAGGTCAGAGCTCAAAATTGGATGATGATTTAGAACGTAGATATTGGAAAGCTTATTTGAATCGAGATAAAGCGAATGACACAAACACAGAACAAGTATGTTTATTAATGATAACAATATTTTCTATTAAAAGGATGAACCATACACTTTTCCATTCTTTTTCTAGAGTGAAGACCATGATATTTCAGGCAAGAATGCATAAATTGCACATATAGATGTGAAAATAGTTTTATTTATTTTACATAATATTTTTGCAGATAACTACGGTATCATCAGTCATTCTCGTCAGCACGATTCATTTTTGCAAGGAATGGTGATGTTTAACTGGGACGATGTTATTCGTAAAAGTGGATGCGTAACCGAGCTATCCATTAATTTTGCAAAAATACCAGAAATTGAACCTTTGCCGGAAATTTTCTTGTATGTTCTGTCCCCAACACAAGATAAAACTGGATTTGTAATTATTCGCCGACATGAAATCTCAAAACAACAAGTTAAAGAGTTTTTGAATAATCAAAAACTACCAAACACGTCTCAAAACTCTCAATCGTCGCAAACTTTTAACGTAAGTTAGTGTTCATTGCAATTTTGTTGTTTGATCGATTCTACTTTAACGCTATGAAGATGCAGCATCCAACAATCCAAATATCAGCAGAAAAAGGGAGAGTGGTAGTAATACCTACTTATGAAACAGCCACTACTCCTCCAGATAATATTCGAACACTAATTATGCGAGATCCCACTTTATATGTGCAAATGGGTCAATTTCTAGCAATTGGACTACGTGGCACTTTAGCACGACCTTTTCGAGCAAAACGAGGTGATTCATATTATATTGATCTAAATGCGGCAAATGCCGCGGTAGGTTCAGCTTCATCGTTAATATTCATTCGGCAAGCAATCTATTCTCTGACATTTAGCTTTAAAATAACTCCAGTCACCGGTCAGTATCAAATTCTTCTGTGCTTCATAGAATATTGTTAAAATTCTTTGACTACATTGATCATTCAGGATTTATACGAGATATATTTTTATGGTCTCTGTTTGCTGATCAGTCAAATCTGGCGACTTGTTTGTGTTCGCGATCCGAAGTACATATACGACTCTTTACGCAACGTCTTGTTACACTGCTCTATTCGATGATTTTCATCTATTATAGGACACAATTGTCGCGGCCTTATTGGCAAATAAGATTTATCAAACGGCAGCTGAGAGAATAAATAAACCAGCGAAAAGAAAAGAATACTTGCAGAAAGAAAAGTATATATTACTTTAGACAATTATGTTTCGACTATATTGTATTATATGTATATATTATTCAGAGACTTCGATAAACATGCTGCAGAAATCATGGACAAATGTTTTATGAAAAACGAAAAATTTGCTATTGATATCTTAGAGAGAGACTCTAAAAGATATTTTGGGTACAGCGCATATAAGTTAGCCGACGACAATAGTAGTCGCTCATTCTTGGCAACAAAATGTGTCGAGAAATATTTAGATCAGTTGTGGTATGGGGATATTAATAAGAAGGAACATTCTACATTATACATCAGTACTTTGGTGAGCACTAGAGGCGATCAATCGGATGCATGATGCAACTTTTATTATATTCTAGATTCTGATCTTATGCATCTTTCCATTCTTGATTCCACTTGTTGCACGTTTCTCCACTACTTTGATATTAACTAAGAGGGAAAACGAGTAAGTCTCCTTATATAGCAGTTCATTCTAGCATTCCGATTATTTCTTGTTATTCATTGCAGGCCGTTTTATTTAAGCTTTGTTTGGTTTTTTCGGAAACGAGCAATCATTCGATTCTTTTACAATATTGTAAGTATACTATATCATTGAAAAATACAGAAAGAGTGAGCTATCTAGCATTATATATATATATCCTCGTTGAAATTTATTTCCAATGTTTTGATTTGTGAATATTGTATCATAAAATGCTCAGTTCCATAAAACCGTGGTTTTGCGTTAATAGCATTTATCGAATTTGGGAACATATTTAGTTATCCACAAAGCTATTCAGGCTCAGTGAGTTTGGACATCAGTTTGGAAATTGCACTTTCACGTACTTGTCACGGAAAAATCTGCGATGTTTAACCTTCACTAAAAACGAAAGCTTAAATACAGTTGCTTTGAATATAATATATGTTTAGTTCCGATATTTCATCCAGACTGAAATATATACACCTAAACCTGAATCAACTACCGACCATGAGCTGATTAGTTAAACAAAAATTTTGGAATACTATGAATATGGTTTTGGTGCACATTTGCCATGTCTTTTAGATAGTGTAGATCTTTTAAAAGTGTTAGTCTTTTAGAAGTTGAGAGTATCCTTCTAGATCGCATAACGGCTATAATACGTTGTGAATAATGGCGTTTCAGCTGAAAAGACCAATAGAATTCTTACTAAAACATTATCTCAAGAATGTAGGTATCTATACAAATGAGAGTAAGTATGTCTTTCACATTCTTCTGCACCACACGAGCTAGTCAACTATGAAATGAGAGTGAGAGTGTGCAGAAAATTCGGAATCGTCGCATAATTAGATACTCGAACACTTATACTCGAATATTTGAGTAATTGAAATAGTCAAGTATAATACTCAGATGAACGGTTGAATTCAACTTTGAGTTTTACACTACTGACAGGGCTATAGACAATATATTCCAATATCTTAATTAATAATCGCTCTTTCATATCGTATGGCATATAGCACTTATAGTCACACATCGACATAAACTATGTAACTGATTCTTTTGTTGCATTTTTTATAGATCTTCCACATCTTATTTATTGGTATATTCAGTTTCGTGCTATTAGTTGACTACTTTCCGATAAACAATAATGGAGGCCGACGTAATGGGTATTTTATATTAATTCCAGTAACAGAAATCATTGTTCACATTTGTATGTGGCATAACATCATTGAAGAGATCGTCGAGGTTCATATATTAATACCTTTCACATAATGTAAAGTTAATACTTATTATACCTGTATTTAGTTTTGGTTGTACTGTCGAAGAAAGCGGTCTTCTAATATTCATCATATCAAAAGAAAATATTTTTTAATTGATAGATGGAATATTGTGGATGTGTTTGCCATTACATTTTATCTTATTGGTTTCACTACACGCTGGATCTCTAACGAATCTGCATTTTCTGTTTCAAAGTAATGAATTAATGTTTATTTATTCAATAAAAAATTCATTTATTCCATTATTCATTGCAGGATTTTCATGTGCTTCTCGTTATGTCTTTGGTATGTTCGGATCTTGCATTTGTTCGTAGCATCAGAACAGCTTGGTATCAAATTACTCATGATATTTAATACAGTAAAATTATTTCATATTTTTCTCTAATCTCAATTTACAACTGTTTTGCTTTTTCATTATAGATGAAAGATCTACAATTCTTTGTCAGTTTTATTTTAATTTTTTTAATTGGGTATGCAGTGACGTCCTATTCTCTTCTCACCACTAAACAGCAAGTGATATGGGACAGTACCGATGGAAAAAGTCCATCTCAGACTTATCAACTAGCTCAAAATGGAACAGGTTTATGGAATTGGACTCTTGTCAGAAATGTCATAGATTGGGGAATGTGGAAAGTATATGGACAAGTATCACTTTTGTCCAACGTTGAAGTTGACGATGTTGTTCTAAATGGTAGGCTTGTATGATCGATATTGAGCTAGCACCATGAAATAAAAAAGCTATGTACAAATCTATATAGAAATCAGTGTATGTGATACAGAATCAAACTCTGCATCAAATAATGGTACTTTAATTAATGGGAAAGTGTTTATCTATATCTTTATTGTTTTCCTATACGTATATACAGAGAAGATAAATTCAGATGATCTCAATCTTTTCGCTATGAACAACAGTATCATCATTCCATGTAGAGTTTGATTCTGCATCAAATGTGCTCGTTTTTATGGATAGAAATCTATTTTTATATAAATTTTACATAATTCTTTGTTTCACGGTGCTAATCTCACGTTGATGTTATATCTGCGTATATTTTACTGCTAAAACAATTGATGCCTTCTAATTTAGCGGATAACGATGTTTATGGCACAATGGTTTTTATCTTGACAATCATTTTTGTTTGTGTAGCAAATGTGCTTCTTTTAAACGTATTAGTTGCTCTGTTCAAGTAAGCATTAATTTTTCGTGTTATACATGTGAATTTACGCTTTGGTCGTTTTCAGTGTCACATTAACTAAGAATGATCAAAATTCTCATTCATCATGGGCATTCCATCGATTTCTTCTTGTTGATGAATATACAAGGAAGTCTCCTCTGCCGCCACCATTGAGTCTTTTTTATTATGCCTTTAAAGCAGCTAAACATTTATATCACAAATGTCAAAATAAAAGCAATGGTAAAGAGTTTCTCCATTTTTTGGACATTTTTATCTTCAAGAAAATTTGCTGTTTGGCTCTTTTTTCAGATAGTGTTCACGGATCACTTGATGACACGAGCGGACTGGATTCAAATTTATATAGTGTTATTTCATTCAATGCTGAAGACAAAATAAAAGTTGATGGTGTTATAAATAAAGTTTCAATCAACTTTTCGACATCACCAACTGATGAAAGTGCCAAGATTTGGCTATTTGTCATCATGGCTCCTACCATTCGTTCGAATCCAAACTCGTTCAGTATTATTCGGAATTATGACTTAACAGCTGATGACAGCCTGATTGACGTGAGAAAAAAATTAAAAACAGAGATCCGTACATTCAAAACAGATCTGCGAGTAGAGAAGGGCCAATATTTAGCCATTCGCTTTTCGCCAGGTTCTGGAAATCCATGTAGCACAGAGCGAAATCAATACTACGTAAATTTTGATGATAAACCGTATATGGGACAGACTCTTTTATTTACACACTGTCCTACAAAAGGTTTTGCCATGAGTTTTAATGTTCAAACAGCACCACGTATGTATTTCGTTCAATTTTCAAAGTAGATTATATTTCAGCTTTCGATAGATGTTAGAAGAACAGAAAGAATACCCGGAAGATGTTACGGGCGCAAGATAGCACCAGTTAATTTGAAAAAGGATATGATAGGTCTGTAAAAAGTTAAGTGCCATTGTTTTTATACAGTATCCTTTTTTGCTTTATTCTTGTAGATACGGTGAAGCGAAGCCAATTTCAAATTCGCGATGATATGCTGCAGGAACAAAGTATTGCGCGTGAATACTGGGTGCATATTATCAAATCGATCAAAGAGAAAGAAAAAGAAGAAAATAAACAGCATGATTTGGCAGAAAACTTTTAACAATACTTTGAAGGTTTCGTTTACAATCAAAAAATAAGTTAAATGAAAAATAGAAACAATTATAATAGAACTATATTAAAAAGAAACTTTAGAACAATACTAGAGAAAGAACTACACAGATGGATAACTTTTTTTATGTAACGAACTTCAATACGATACACTATATTCGATTTTTGAAATACTATCTACTGACTGTAGTCTATTCGTACATTTTCATTAATACTACGTTTTTCATTTTAGATATCTCTTTCTATTCTTGTGTATGAGATCCAAGTATTATTAGACGTAAAAATTAGCTTTTCTAACAATCGATTTCAATTATCCATCATTCAATAACTCTGTGTTATTCGATCAATACCTTCTTACTCAAAGACACAATAATTGTTTAGTTGAAGTGCAGTGAAAATAAACGGATACATTGGTGGTAATATAAAAGAGAAAGATTATTCAATTGCAAATATTATAGAAAGAAATATTGTTTTGAACTACGAAACTTAGACAGCTACAGATAATACGAAATTAAAAACAGCTGGATGGGTCAGAATATTGTAATCCCGGCATCACCACGTCCAATTGAATTAGCCCAACCAGAAACAGTGGAGAAGGGAGAATCCAAAGCTATTGTGACTGATACTTCAATACCTGTTTCTACTGAAATACACAATCGACAAACGATATCATCCACCGACGATGCCAATGTTATACAAGAAAGCACAGGAGCTCAATCTTCCCATGCAAATCTGAGACACTCAGAACCAATATCAATGCCTAAGGAAACATGGTCCAAAGAAGATTTCACAATGACAGTTATTTGGTGTGATATCAATGTTCATGACCCTGTTGAAAACGTTCCTACGCAAAATGAGATAGTAAAAATATGTAAATTTTTATATTTATTCAAAGATTATGAGGCTTGCGAAGAACATATTCGATACTTAGATAGAACTGATGAGGTAATTTTGGTTGTATCTGGAAGTATGGGCAGTATTCTCATACCACTTGTACACGACTCAAGGCAAGTACGTGTCATATACATATATTCTAGAGAAGTACATCACTTCAAGGAAAAATTTGATGATTACAACAAAGTAAATCTACAGCAGAATGATCTTGAGTGATTTCAAAATAGTAACACAACTCTTCTATTTTCTTAGGTAAAATTTATTAATGTTAAAGAATCACTTACCAGACAGATATATAATGAACAAATCGGCCATCTGACAGAAAAAGAAGGAGTGTCATTCAATGTTTATAGACGGCGCGATAAAAAGCATCTGGAATCTTGTGCATCATTTATTTGGATGCATCTTTTTACGAAAATACTTATTAATAATGTGACCTTATTCGGTTCTTCTTCGTCATCTCCGTTGACCACATCACACACTGAGGAAAAAGATAAATTAGTCGCCCACTTACGACGAATGTATGATGGTAAAGAAGAGGTTTTAGCTTTTATTGACGATTTCCACACTAATTACTCTGCGAATGAAGCCATACAGTGGTATACACGTGAATCAATCTTATACGAACAGTTGAACAAGGCATTGCGATATAAAAATCTCAAATTATTACTTTTGTTTCGGTTTTTTATTTATGATATGTGGAATCAGTTGAGCAAGAACAGCAAAGAGCAAAAAGAAAGTCTACAATCTTCTAATCATCATCATCAGGGAGAAAGGCGTATCGAGTATGCTTACCGCGGACAATGGATGTCAGCAACTCAAATTGAATCATTAACAGAGTCTCCAAATGAATTTACATCGGTGAACTCATTCATGTCAACTAGTGAAAGAGAAGACGTAGCGCGCGAGTTTGCTGAAAAACAACATGGAAGGCATGAGTCTCTACGAAGTGTTTTATTCAAGATTCAAATGAAAGTCTATCCAGCATCTGAGACACAATTATATGCATCTATTAAAAATGAAAGTCAGTTTTCTAGCGAAAGCGAAGTTTTATTCGCACCAGGAACAATATTTAGAATTCATAAAATTATTCACCCAATGAATAAAGAAAAACCTACCATCATTCAGTTGACATTGTGTAAAAAAAATGCACCTGAATTGCATGAACTTATTACCTATTGGGAAGAAAATATTGAATCTGAAACAAATCAGGCATCTTTGGGTTGGTTGATAATGCAAACAGGTCAAACAGAGGAAGCAATAAACTTTTACCGAACTTTACTCGATGGTTTGAAACCAGATGATCCACTTAAAAAAGAATGTTACTATGGTGTGGGTAATCTTTTCGTCAAATTAGAAGAGTACCAGAATGCATTACACTATTACAAAAAAGCATTAACAAAATCTCAAGATGATCAAAAATGGATTGCCAAAATTGAAAGCGCACTGGCCTATACGTATGTACTCCTAGGTGATAGCGATGAAGCACTAACAACCTATAAGGATGCACTGCTCATATATATAGCCGAGTATGATGAAGTTCACAAAAATACTGTCCAATGTTATACAGGAATAGGCGATGTACATCAGAGTAAAAAAGAATATGCTTCTGCAATAGATTCATATACGCGTGCATTAGAATTGGGTGAACAGCTTAATCCGCCACCAAAAGATCCACTCTATCTCAATATATTGTTGATAAACCTGGCATCTATATATTATATCGAAAAGAATTATAAAGAATCATTATCTTTATTTGAGAAAGCATTAAACAATTATAACGAAAAATTGCGCAATGAGTATGAACATTTATTATACCATGATGAAAAACTAGGTATGTTACATGAAAATATTGGTCATGTTTACAGAAAAGACAAAAAATATAGCGAAGCATTATTATCATTTCATAAAGCAGCAGAAATCTATTACTATACTTTTCCACAAACGAATCAACACAATCAAGGCATACGAAAAGCGATTCGATATTGTAATAAAAAATTGAGGTATATACAATTTATAAAATTGCAACAGCAACGGAATGTATGTGCGTCTTTTTTATTTTAGAAACAAACAGGCTACTATTGAAAGATATCAGAACGAACATTCCCTTTCAGAGCAGCGTCCATCATCAATTTCGTCACGACATCACTTGATAAGCAGAGAAAAATCAAAAGATACGAAACAAGCAATAGTTGAAGAGCCTAATCAAGATGCTACAGTTAATGGGATATATTCGAATAGGGAAACGAGTGAAAAACCACCTAATTTATCGGAAGATCACACTAGGACATCAAGTATTCGTAACCAAGCAACAAAACGAGTGAAACAAACAAAACCAGCTGATGATGAAAATGAACCAAACTTGAATCAGCCACCACGAATAGACTCAAGAAGAAAATAATGGACATATGATTATTATATATACAATTTTGAAAGATTCTTTTTCTTTTCTTGTAACATCTTATGTATACTTCTCTTGGCTTTAGATGTACCATCAAATATTTATCTGGAAAGTATAGAACTGATTTTGATTTCTCTGTTTGGCAGCTCAATTTAAATATCGTAAAACTTCGAGAAGACGAAATATTTATTATTTAGATGTTTCTGTCATGTCTTTAAACAGTTCTTAAGATAGATTAGTACATTAATATAAACATTATAGATATCGTATTATAAGGTCAGTGCATACGATTAGGGGGGGGGGGGGGGGGGGGGGGGGGGGGGTTGTCCCCCCCCCATTTTTTTTCTTTTTTTTTGGTTTTTCCCCGGG